GGTAGGGCTGGGGGGGGGGGGCTCTTAAGAGTCTTACACTGTGGTGAAAAAAACGTGATAATATTCCAGTGTGTCACGTAGCACACACACACACACGTGTTAAAAAAAAAGAACACATACAGACATACGTGTACACACAATCACACACACAGGCTGTTTTTCTCAATTTCATGCACCAGAAACTTTGTGGAACAAAAATCTTGCACGCTCAAGTCCAGCGGTTCTCAGACATGCTAAAACAGTGGGGCTGTCTTAAGCGCTTCTAAAACCTTCCAAGGAAAACATGTCTTTATGTGAACCTGTATGCCTGATATGTCTCTCCGAGTGACGTTTTTATTTTTCAAAGCCGAAGGCGGACGGACAGACCACACAAAACTTATAGCGGCTATTCCATTTCGTGGGCCGCTTAAAAAAGCTCATATTAAGTAATTTTGCAGCAATTATTTTGAATCAATCATGTAATTAATTTTTAGTAGATCTAGAGTCCTAGCCAACAATAAATAATACATTACTGCGATTGGAAATATTTGTATTAATTGTTTTTTTGTTTAACGCAGCTTTCACACTTATAGTATGCTCAGTGCGTAAGGGTCCAATCACTTTTGTGGCCTTGTGGAGTATCTTTGAGGCTGCCTTTTCTGAATCTGAATTCGAACTGCGGGGGGTGGGGGGGGGGAGGGCTAGTTTGTAGATAATCCTCAGCTCGGGAAGGGGGAGAGCTAGTTTGTAGATCATCATCAGCTCTGAATGAACATCCGAAACGTGTAAAACATTTGACAAACATTCTGAACACCATTTACGCTAAAATCTTAACTTCTTGATTTGCCTACACGTCTGGAAAGTCTCCAATGAAAGCATTATGCACGTAGATCTATGTAGGATAAGTATTGGATTTGTACAGCTTTCACCTTCAGTCAAGTCGTTTGCTCTTTGTGTGGGATAACAAGTTTTTTACGAGTGAGTCGTTAGCTTTGTGACGGACGGTAATCAGCAATTAAACGAGGGGTGTTATCGCCCTTGTCCAGACCGATGGGGGTAAGGAAGATGCCTGGTCTCTTTGTACTTCTCAAATTATGATGTGGGCCAGGAGGGTTATCGCTGTCTCATAAAACATGGCGTCTCCTTTGGAAGGGCGGCCCAGACGTGCACACTTTTATTCCAGGCTTCTAAAATTACAAGAAATTTAGGCAGGTGTGTTGCTTTGACTTGAGTAAATGTGTGTGTGTGTGTGACTTTCAGGGGCGCAGCTAGGAATTTTCCATCGTTAGGGGACCCGGGGAGCTTGACCTCCTTGGGGCCCCCTGAATTTTGCTAAATACTTATTTTTTGTGTGTAAAAAAAGCTCATTTGGGGGCCTCCCTAAATTGGGGACCCGGGGGATTTTTAAACTCTCCCCCCCTCCTTCCACCTTATAGCTACGCCACTGGTGACTGTGTGTGCTTGTGTTAGCGTGTAAGTGTATCTGTACATGTGTCATCATGTATGAATATATTTTGTCGCTTGTTGGTGTTGACCTTTTGGGTCATTTTGTTTGTTTCTTCAATTCGACTCATTTGAATGAGTCTTTTTAGAATACCTTTAATCAGGTCGCACATTCACACCATGAACCTCTTGGGTGGACACTGGTCACAAAAACGGTTCTTACGATTTTCCTAGAAATTTACAGTTGAGGTATATCGTTGGAAAAAGAATTACTAGCTTGTTGGCCACACTGTGAAATCTCTAGTCTGACTTTTATAATTTTTCAAAGTATAAAAGAAAATTAATTTAAATTTGACTAGAGGACTAGAACATTTTTATCTTATCTTCTTATCTTATAAGATACAGACGTTACTTCAAAAAAAAAAAAAGAAGATGATTACGTCCTACGCGTCATGCATTTTAACCAATGACCTAAACTCCGCCAAGTCACTGGTTTTCCTAGCTGGCTTAGGCAACCCATTCCATGCTCTAAAGCGCTAGGGAAGAAGGAGTTTTTGTACAAATGTGTCCTACCATATGGATTGTGAAATATATCTTTGTGTCTTTCTGATTATTTTACTTAAATTTTGTTTTTGTATTTGAAGATTATGGTTCAGTGTTTTATGTATACTTTACTTTTAATTTTAAACAGATTAGGCCTACGTCTTCAGGTATTTTTGCATGTATGGCCTTAATATTTATTCGTGAGTTGAATAAATGAATGTTCAGGAACATTTTGCGCACCGTTTTCAAAGTCTAGATCTAAAGAACTATCATTAGAATATCATAAAGTCTAGTAGATTTATACATTCGCTTAACCAGGGATTTTTTTTCTCGGGGTTGGGGTGGGGGTGGAGATGCAGCGGGGCGGGTTAAAATGTTATATTTTTTTTATTAGCCTAACATTCATTAGTTATTTAGAACAAAATAATCGCTTTACAAGTTTACAAGTTTAAAGGAAGTGTCGTCTTTTTTTGAAAAGGTTTTTTTAATCTTGTTGTTTGTTGATTTGTCACCTTGAATTAAATATATCGATTATCGATACGCATTACTTATATGATTAGAATCATAGAATCCGTTTTTGTCTGTAAAAGGGAAAAGAAAATGTGCCGATGATAAATCACGACCCCCTGACCCCCATTTAGCGAGTCCATGAAGGGATCTACACAAGCTGAAACCATTGCCTTCTTGAACTGCACAAAAATTGGTCGACGACAAAAGGGGGATAACTGTAGAAATATAAAAATGAATGTTTCCGGACTGCCTGTCTATTTTATTTTTCCAAATGTTCCTCATTGATTTCTTTTGTTCCATGATACACTTGAAGACTATTGAATGACCCGGGGGGGGGGGGGGAATACATTTAAAAACATTGGGTAGTAAGGTAAGAAAGGGAGAGAGGGGAATGGTACAAACGATAAAATATAAAGAAAGATTTGGCCTTAGTTGAATATAGAGGGAGGCAAAAAGCACACTAAGGCAGAGCAACATTATGAAAATAGAGTTGTCTTTTCTTTTGGACAACATTGGCTCTAATGAATGACAACATAAAAAAAGAGTTCAATTTTGTTTCCAACGACAACATTTGTACCGGAAGCTCAAAATTGGAACCCATGAAATCTGCTCATGTGGAGTGTCTCCAGAGAATGCTGACCACGTCCTCCAAAACTGCTCTCTTTACCAAGAGGCCCGTACAAGACACTGGCCCCAAAACACCCCTATAGAAAGAAAACTATGTGGAGAGCTCCCTGATTTGGAAACCACTGCGCAGTTCATCTCATGTATTGGTCTACTCATCTAAACACACACACACAAAAGATGAGAACAAAGAAGAAGACGTTTCCTCAAATGTTTGTCTGCAAAATGTTACCGGCAAAGGCGAAATTCGGCATTGTATAGAATGACAACTGCTTTAGGCACAGTGTTAAATGATGATTTAAAGTATTTTTATTAATTAATGTTAATTTCTCGGAATGATATTTTTATTCGTCATTAATCAAAATAATTAAGTCTTGTTCTTTGAAGTGTGGAGTAGCCTATGTTTAATTACGACCGTTTAAGTGTGCATGCTTTGTACAACTCATTGTACTAAGTAAAAAGTTGATACAAAAGATATTTCATATTATGTCGTATGAAAGGCGAAAGAAAATAGGTCTATTATGTAACCAAGGCAAATACGACTACATTGAAGGAATCGACTAATATTGACTAAGCTGAGAATGGCTTTGTTGTGATGTTTGTTGTAAAATGTTTTACAGGTTTCGGATGTTCCTTCAGAGTTGAAAATAGTTTACTTTCTAGTCCAAACCTTCCTCAGGACGACGGGGGATGAAAGCGGACAGGGTTTGAACCCTGGACCATTGATAAATCCAAAACGACAGTCCAGCGCGCAAACCGCACGATTAAGGAAAACGCTAATTAATTTATTCTGTTAAACAAGGCATCAGTGCAATTCCTTTTTTGTTAAAATATTCACACAAATTTCCCCATTGAAAAAAAAAAAGTGCTTATAAACATAATTCATTAATTTTACAGGACTTTTCTCGTTAAATAGTTAGAAAGCTTAGTTTTTAACGTTCACTTTGTCTTGTTTCTATTTTCTGTCCCCCTTGGTGAGACTTTACCTTTTTTTTTATTGTCCTCCTATGGGTTTGAACGTTTCCTAGAAAGCCTCGGTGGGTCTCACAGAGTTTTTTCTCAACATAAGACAGTTTATAAAATCAAAGGAAAAGCTGGAAATGCAATAAAAACGCGTACTAATAGAATATATAGACTTTTCTTTTTTTTTTTACAAATTATCCTTTCATTACAGACAACTGATTAGAACATCATAATATTATTTTATTTTGTATTTATAATCAAGCCAATTCTGGAGTAGCTGATAGGACAGCTTGACTAGGCACTTATTTTTTTATGCTCTTGGCGAGGTTCGTACCAGCACGCACAGTCTGTGTCTCCATGCTGTCCGGTCTTGGGCTATTTCCTCCCACATACTTTCGTTGATGCCAGTGGTTCTCATGTCTCGCTTGCAGACATCTCTATTGGTTAGTCTTGTGTCTAACTCCCTCCGCAAGCTCAGATCTTTAGGAATTGATGACATGTCCGAAGCAACGTAGTTATCTGTGTGTCAAAAAGAGCATAGATACTGTGCACATTGGCCGATTTGAAAATGTCCAACGCAAGTGAAAACTATTTAATCTCTTTACACAACTGTTATCTACACAATTTGTGTAGAAGTAGACCTGCTTAGATTGACCCAGTTACACAACTGTTATCTACACAATTTGTGTAGAAGTAGACCTGCTCAGATTGACCCAGTTGTCCCTTTTTAAAAGCCCAGCTTCTGTCATATTTTCACTTCTTTGGCACTGAAACAACTACACCTCATAGTTCATAGAAAAATCTTTGAATAAAAATGTCAGTCCGCCAAGGGCAATGCCATATTATCACATGAATGTCCACATGACAACAGTTTGTTCAAATGTACGTAATAAATTTAACTTACAAAAATAAAAAAATAAAAGGCACAACTCAGATCAATATAAATCACAGTGTATTTATTGATTACAATTTATAACTTGAACACCCAGGTAGAAGAGAAACAATGGTAATACAACGTTTCAGCAAGTTCTCTATAAAATACTGTTTTTTTGTTTCTTTAGCATTACCTCTAGGCAGGAAGAAATAAATACATCAGAAAATAAGATAGAAATTCAATTGCTAGCCTAGACAACTAATATTGATCTTACTATTGATACATATTCAATAATTGGTGTAAAACTTTGTGTCACTAAGCTATTTTAAAGTGTAATTCAAATATGAAATCCTACAGTTACAGACATATGCCAGGACACATAAATTGCAGTATTGCTCTTAAATTGGAAACCTACAAGGACAAATGAAGATAGTCCATGATGACATCTGTAAGAGCAGCAGCATTTGAGCAATGTCAAGACAATACTGTTGCATCATGTAGGACAAAGCTGGCCACCCAATGCATTGTCTCTTAATTCAAAGATTATATATGATTACAACAAACTGTAGACCAGTAGAAAGATCCAGCCACAGATGTGCATAGTTTGTCACATCTAAGTCATGTACAATGCAAATAACTAAAAAGACTAAAAAAAAGATATATATTAATTAAAGATAGTCTACACATTTTTAGTAGCATGAACAGTTCTACTATAATAATACTATTAAAACAATACAAGTATATGTTGATAATATTTGACAAGCTGTTAGCCTTAGACCTTTGGAATGAATGAATCATTGAGAGCAATAGGTATTCAATTTGTGTCTTATTAAATGTAAACAATTATTTTTGTTGCAACATTGAACCCTGAAGACAATACACCATCACCGAATAGAATGTTCTAGCAGTTGACACACAAACTGATTACATGGGGGACACACTCAAATGCTGAGTTCTTCAACAAAATGTTCATTCGCTGAATAGCTGTTACATAGTTTAAATATGTCAAAAGAAAAAAAACATTTAGAGTTTCCTCAGTTTTGTCAAATATATACACCATAAAAAAATAAATTCACTAAGTTATTAAAATATGTAAATAAGAATCAGAGATTCTAACTCGCAGTAGAGTTTCTTTCACTTGACAAGTTTCAGTCTCAAGCAATTTGGTGTAGTCTTAACATGACTTCAAATAAAAATATCAGATCCAGATAAATTATTTCCAAATAAATAAAAGCTATCGAAGAGAAAGGCTATATACAGTAAAAGTCTATCATATTATAGTATGCTATACATAGCAACATTGCCAGGATTAAAAGTATCCTTGGACTCAAATAGAAAACTATAATTGTTCAACCAAAAAAAAACAACGTTGGACAGCATGTAAACTGGAGGTACAATTTAAAGGACAAAGGAGAAGAAAAAAGGATTAAGTCAATACAAAAATAGAAAACATCTAAAATGTATAAAAAAAAGAAATAAAATAAAATATGAGTATTGAACAAAATAAAAGTATATCTCTATGCTCTGTCTTCATGACATTTCCACATTCACAGCCATACATCTCAGTTTAAAAATGAGAATGAAAAAAGAAACTATGCTACCACCAGACAAAACATTTGCTAAATAATTTTAAAAACTAAAGTCACTTTTTAAAAGTGGACCAAATGAACTCAAAGAGTTTCTTCTGCTAGTATATCGCTATTGAAAGAAACCAAGCTAAAAGGTATACATTATCTTTCTAGTAGTTACAGACAGAATTTCTGTTTCCCTTCAGAATACTGATCTTGACATTCATGTTTTCACCATTTTTGTGTGACTAAAAAGCACAAGTTACTGAAGAGGCATCAATGTCTTAACAGGTACATCTGTCTTGTCACATGTACATCTTTCTAGTCAAGCTAGTTCAGAGGTACATCAATGTCTTGTCAAGTTAGTTCACAGTTACATCTATGTCTTGTCAAGTTAGTTCACAGGTACACCTATGTCTTGTCAAGTTAGTTCACAGTTACATCTATGTCTTGTCAAGTTAGTTCACAGGTACACCTATGTCTTGTCAAGTTAGTTCACAGGTACACCTATGTCTTGTCAAGTTAGTTCACAGGTACACCTATGTCTTGTCAAGTTAGTTCACAGGTACACCTATGTCTTGTCAAGTTAGTTCACAGGTACACCTATGTCTTGTCAAGTTAGTTCACAGGTACACCTATGTCTTGTCAAGTTAGTTCACAGGTACACCTATGTCTTGTCAAGTTAGTTCACAGGTACAACGATGTCTTGTCAAGTTAGTTCACAGGTACAACGATGTCTTGTCAAGTTAGTTCACAGGTACAACTATGTCTTGTCAAGTTAGTTCACAGGTACAACTATGTCTTGTCAAGTTAGTTCACAGGTACACCTATGTCTTGTCTTTGTCCTACATTACTGAATTGGTCTAAGAAATTCATAATAAAACATTTTCTACATTGTTTGGCTTTAAATCAGCTTGTCAGTGTTTCTGTTTTCAATACAAAGTAATTGTGATCCAATGTAGTAAATGGTCATAAAAGTCACACCAGAATTTAGTGAACAAGTAATAAGAATAATTAAAAAAAAAGAACTTTGAGGCAAACTAAGGAATTTTTCTTTTCATTTTAAATCCCTTCATTGAAGCCAAATGCAGACAATGAATAATTGGAATAAATCCTACATTGAGATTTTGTTCTCAGAATTTCTCAGACTGATATTCCAGTGACACACTTGGTCTAATATTTAAAAAAAAATGTTTTAGAAGAAATTTTTTTTTTTTTTTTTTTTTAATAAAGCCAATAGAACTTAATAATGTCCAAAACACACTTTGATCAACTTTTGTTACATTAGGTCACAATTAGACAATTGGTTTTACACTGTGTAGCTAAGCAGCAAAATCTAGCTAAAAGAAGAATACATTTATTTTCAATGACACATCACTCTTCTGTCAAATAGTAACTGCAGATGAAATGTGATCAGAAGAAAATAAATTAAATAAAGCACTCATGCTACAGTACAGGCATGTGTGTAGTCATGCTACATAGTCAGTTCTAATTGATCAAATTACTTACTGAAATATTCAGAAAAGAATTAAGGCTTTCAGTATAAAACAGTGTTCAAACACATGGGAACAAATGAAAAGGTAAATGAAGGGACACACACTCAAAGTAGTTTGATAAGTTTAGCTATTGAATCAGACTGAGCAGGCCCAGTATCAAGTTAAGTCCATCCAGCTATTTACAGAAATGGCTTCAAGCAAATAGCTTTAGCTAGGACATATATAAAATATTATCATACTACATGTCTGAAGACAAAAATCTAGACCAGTATCTACATATGTTCAGGGTGATCACGAAGACAGTCAATGAAATTCCTAGGATCTACTTCTCTAGTACATATTCTGTGTATAGCAACAAGTAATGGAAACCTGCAAATAAAAAGAGAAAATTGTATTATCAAGTGAAAACAGATTGTCATGTACAGTGAATCCTAGTTGGTTCATTAAACATTTCTTTATTTATTTGCACATAAAGACAGAAATTGCCAGTTTTGAAATATGTTTTGCCCATTCAATTTACTCTGAAGTTCCTCTGTAATGATCAAGGGGTGGAGAGGATGTAAGGCTCATGTTTGAATTGCTGACAGTTGACAAGAGTGTCATGTGGTCAACACAATACACTAGCATGTTTACTTTCCCAACTAACACCACATACCCATTAGAGTTGAGTTTTCAATGGAACTTGTGACCCTTCAGAGAAACTTGGTAAAAAAAAAGGATGTTTTTGTCAAAGAAAAGGCTAACAAATTTGTGAGTTGGTTTATTGCATGACAAACTTTCAAACCTCCTATTATTGCCTCCAACTAATTGTATGTGCAGGTGTAGTAAAGTTTTAAAGAGCATGTTGGTAAAAAAAACATCATCAAGACTAGGTTAAAAAAACACAGAAAAGGTTCAGGCAGCAAGACAACAATATAAAAGGCAACAGAGATCTAGTAATAAAAAAACCTTTTTATTTTTGAGCCTCATTACAAAGAAGAGTCAACTAGCTGTTTATTTCAACATACATTAAGATCATATTTCATATACTTGTTGTAATACATTATGTACATAGGATCATATTTCATATACTTGTTGTACTATGTTATGTACATAGGACCATATTTCATATACTTGTTGTAATACATTATGTACAAAGGATCATATTTCATATACTTGTTGTACTACATATGTACATAGGACCATATTTCATATAGGCTACTTGTACTATGTTATAGAAATGTACATAGGTCCATACTTCAATACTTACTGTTCTAACATATTGTTGTCTTTCAAGTAGCTATAAATTTCTTTGGCAATAAGTGGACCTTGAAAACTTTGACCTCTAAGGATTTCTTTTTCTAGCAGTCGAATATCCTGATAAACAATGAAAAAAAAAACAGTTACTGCATCTAAAACTTCACATGCATTGGCTTATGCCAGGTAGAAGTGTTGAAATGGTGCTTCAAAATGCTCTTTGAGAAACTAAACACAACTAGTCTAAAAGAGATGCTCCCATTTGGCAATGAAAAACAAAGGAAAGAAACTAATTGAAAAAAAAAAGGTCTTGAAAACAATTTTGTTAGTTAAGTGAGCAAAAGCATTCAAGAAAACTAACTCTAGATAGTTTCACTGCTGCTGACTCCTCTGTGCACACCCTGCACACACAAATTAAAGAATATATATATTAGAAAAAAAAATTCCTTATAACTTTACCAAAAAGAATAGAAAAACTCCAATGTATGTGCATAATCCCCTATGAGGATGCTTAAAAGAATGCATAAGATGATGTAAGATGTTTTGTCTGATGTAATATATAGCATGAAATAGACTAAATGATACATTTATACTTGGAGTAAAATGTGTTTTTGATCCTCTAGTAATTTTTTTTTAAAGTTTAAAAGTTTATATATAAAAAATACGTATAAAAGACAACCATTGACAAAAGCAAAGCAAAAAAAAAAATATTTTTTTTCAGTTACACCGTAGCACATTGTTAAGTACTGGTAAATATATATATATATAGATATATATAAATAATATTGGGAAGCGACATTATGTTTTAAGTGGCATGGGTTTAGTAGTGCTAAGTGTCTTTCAGATTAGACAAATTATAAGAACCCCCCAGTAGAGAATGAAACCACAAAATGTTTCTAACAAGATATAATTTACTGCCTGGTTTCAATTTCCTGTGACATTAGATACTATGAAAACTAAAAAACAGATTATCGAAAGAATACCAGGTAAAAACAACAAGGGCAGTAAATCTAGAATATGAACGCAACAACTTGGAAACAAGTTTTACATTACCACTCCAGCTATTCCACGTTTCTGTAAATGAAATATTTGAAATGTTGAGCAGTTTCTTAAATTTTCTTTCAGCTATATTGTTTGTTATCAGTTGAGTTTAAAGGTTTCTCAGCAGTTTTTATATTCTATTATTGGCAGTATTTCAGCCTACTATCAGATGTATTAAAATAAAGCATAATAAGTTTATTAACTGCATTACTTAGAGTCAAATATCAACCATGTTTAAAAAAAGCTATATCTGCATTACTTAATGTCAACTATCAACCATTTTTTTAAAAAAACTATAATATCTGCATTACTTAAAGTCAACTGTTAATCATGTTTAAGTCAACTATCAGCTGTGTTTAAAATCTATTATTGCTTGTGAATCTAATTTCAAATAAGCAAACAAAACAATTCCTGTCATTAGCCATGTTGATATGGTTGAAGAAAAAAAAAAAAGGATTGACCAATAGCATAAATAGTTCTGATCAGTATATCCATACCTTCATTGATTTCACAACAGCTTCCCCTAGCAACCGGTTTCTGCCTCCATGACATGTAGCCACCAAGTCCGCTACACCACAGCTCTCAAAGAATACTGACTTGTCATCATCTAAACAAGTTTGAGGAATTGTTGAGTAGTTAGTACATTTAAAAGAGAAAAAAAAAAAAGTGAAACATTTTAAAATTATGTGTGTAAAGAAATAATTTCTTTAATTTTTTTTTTGACAGTTGCTATAAAAGAAACAAATAGTATCAAATGTTTTAATGTCACATGTCTAAACAAAATAGATAAACACAGTCAGTAAGCCAATCTTCAATCTTACAAGCTACTAGCAATGTGGACAAATACTTTTAATACTGACAGATCATTACTATTAAGATAATAATTAATATTGCTGACACTTTACAGTGGATTGACAATTAGTTTGTTAAGACAATTGATATACTGACAAAATGTTAAAAAAGTCTCTAAGTGTGAGCAAATTAAAGTAAAAAGAAAATTATCCACGAAAATCCACCAGTTCAACAAATCAATATTATTTAAAGATGTTAATAAATTCAATTTAATGAAGTACACAGCCCTAGCAACTAAATTAAATTAAGCTCATGTGAATTTAGGACTGATACTTGTCTTTTAAACATTTAGTGTCCTTATAAAATATCAATGATCCTAATGACAGATTTGGATAAATTAAAATCAACTCACTTCCTAAGAACACTTTGGTAAACTTCATCATCTCCATCAGACCGAGTCGAATCACTGCTGCCTTTGTATTGTCTCCATAGCCAAGACCATCAACAATACCAGCTCCAATACCAACAACATTCTGTTACAGTAACAATACCTTTGGGTAATTATTGCACAAGTCTTGACAGCAGATGGATTGATCTTATTAAGTACAAATCAGTTCAGAAGAAATGGACTATAATATAAATTACAAACAACTTTTGCAGTTTTTTGTTTATTTGCTTCATTCCTTAATTCTTAATTGTTCTAAAATAAATCTGTCAGTGAAAAAAAATTCTATGGAGACTAGGCAGTCATTAGGACAGGGGATGTAAAGATGTAATGTAGGGTATTAAGACATGATGCAGACATTTGACTATGAAGAAATTCTTGAGTTAGTGTCT